CGCGAAAAGCATACACCAAGGGATGTCCCCTTGTATGTCCCTTGTGACCTCATCCATCACTAAGGCAAACAGATAAGGACTCAAAGCTGACCTTTGATGTAGTCCTATCTTAATCGGGAAGTCATCCGTGTCTCCATCACTTGTTCGAACACTAGTCACAACATTGTTGTACATGTCCTTAATGAGCCCGACGTGCTTCGTTGGGACTTTATGTTTGTCCAAAGCCCACCACATAACATTCCTTGATATTTTATTATAAGCCTTCTCCAAGTCAATAAAAATCATGTGTAGGTCCTTCTTCTCCCTATACCACTCCATAACTTGTCTTATTAAGAAAATGGCTTCCATGGTTGACCTTTCGGGCATGAAAACAAATTGGTTCATAGAGACCCGCGTTATTGCTCTCAAGCGATGCTCGATAACTCTCTCCCATAGCTTCATAGTATGGCTCATCAACTTAATTTCTCGGTAATTAGTACAACTTTGAATATCCCCTTTATTCTTGTAGATCGGTACCAATATACTTCTCCACTCGTCAGACATCTTGTTCGATCGAAAAATACGGTTGAACAGCTTGGTTAGCCATACTATAGCTATGTCCCCGAGGCATCTCCACACCTCGATTGGGATACCATCCGGTCCTATCGTCTTACCTCCTTTCATCCTTTTCAACGCCTCTCTGACCTCAAATTCTTGGATTCTCTGCACAAAACGCCTATTGGTGTCATCAAAAGAGTCATTCAACTGAAAGGTTGTGTCCGTATTCTCACCATTGAACAATTTATCAAAATACTCTTGCCATCGATGTCGGATCTCATCCTCCTTCACCAAGAGATGCTCCATTTCATCCTTAATGCACTTAACTTGGTTGAAGTCCCTTGTCTTTCTCTCACGAACCCTAGTCATCCTATAAATGTCCTTCTCTCCTTCCTTCGTACTTAAATGTTGGTAAAGATCCTCGTACGCTCTACCCTTTGCTACACTTACAGCTCGCTTTGCAGTCTTCTTTGCCACCTTGTACTTCTCTATGTCGTCCACACTCCTGTCATGGTACAAGCGTCTATAGCATTCTTTCTTCTCCTTAATAGCCTTTTAGACTTCCTCGTTTCACCACCAAGTATCTTTAACCTCGCCTCCACTTCCTTTAGTTACTCCACACATCTGAGTCCCCTTCCGAATGTTGGTTGCCATCTTCTCCCACATGTTGTTTATGTCACAGAAGAGTGATATAATTGTAGCATTGCTAAAGCCGTAAAGAAGCAATTTTTTAGCTTGCCTACATGATCGAAACTACTTTGAAATGAAGTTTCGGCCTTTGGTATCATATATATTTTCAAAGATGATAAGACTCACTGGTAGCACTCTAGTTGATTCCACATTGCACTTAAATCAATCCAACTAAATCGAAACTTAGCAACCAAGTTACTACCAGATCTAGTGCCACTGCCAATCTCTTACTCCAATCAATCATGTGGTTGCTGCTATGGTGCAAAATGTTAATGCTCCTATTTCCAGTTTCTGTGTAATTTTAATGGGCCCACCACAAATGCCGCAGGTGGAAGAACTTGCAGGGGCTGAGGACTGCGACAATGACACAACAAGAGAGCGGTGGCATGTAAAAGTGGACCACCTTGACCTAGGACCTGGGTTCTGGCGAAAGCACCCTTGGATTATGGCTAATTGCACTCAGTAGTTCCCACTGATACATGGTTCTTATCAACCACTTAGATAGCTAGATTCCCTGAGAACGTTGTTGTACTGGTGTATGTAACTCTTGTTCACACAGGTCTACAAAAGAAATATAGTTGTTTGTTCACTGTTCAAGCATCAAGCCTCTATTCACTATATGTGCTGATGGTTTTCTGAGTGGTCTGCTTGAAGCCTTGGTAGCGTTGTGTTAATTTCCTTCTGAGCTGTGAATACTTTTTTTCCTTCGAAAATCGCTGGCATGATTATGCCAGGCGTATTGATACAGGAGCACTTTACAAGGCAGTGATTTATGTACAAAGGTTTACATGCAACTCGTCAAAATCAAGCTGGGAAAACCACTGAAACACACGTGGTCTCTACAGAATACTGAATAGCAACATTTGTCGCTACTGGTATCCAAAATAATGCAAATGACGAATTACTGAAGTTTCGCAGAAGTTGCTGGAACGCAGCAGCAGGTCCTTTTCAGTTCTGTTCGAAATCGATGTGGTTTCGCCTGGGTGGTCTCCAGAGGCAGAGGCGGTGACCGGGCTGGGCACAAGGATGAGAAGAGAAGATACGTATCGTCAAGCAGGCAGGAGAGGCTCACAAGCAAAGCAATGAAGCAAATGCGTCGTGCGTTGCACTGAAACGAGAGGACGCAGCAGAAAGCGTGTGTTGCCGCGCTGTGCCCAAATCGGCTCACAGCTCCCAAAACTAGCTAGACGCAGAGAGACCGTGTAATGGCTTATCTTATGGCTTACCGTGGCCGCCTCGTGACCGCGCGCACGATGATGATATGATGATGATGACCAACACGCGTGACGCGTTCCTGGTTGAGCTGCGTGTGTGAGAAGGGAAAAAGGAGGAGGAGACGGAAGTGTCCGGTGCGGTGCAGCGTGTGGACCGTGGACGGCTTGCACGCACCTCACACGCTTGCCTGAATGAGGTCTAACATGCCATGTGTGTATGGTAATGGCGCTTTTGACAGGAGGCCAGAAATGACAAGTTTTAATGGCGTTTGGTTTGAGCAATATAACGGATTAATCTTGCACTCAGCACATGGCTAGTTTAGCAATGAGGAATGGATCCATCCACCAAAATTCCTAGGATGACTTCATGATAAGCTGTTTACTACTAGAATTTTTCTCTTACCACTTGGATCTTTGGAATTGAATTCATTCTAATAATTATAATTTAGACATCAATTAATTAAGCTAATATGGTTCTATATGAAATATATTTGTATATTATTGTTAGCCATACAAGATATACTTATATATTGCATTTCTACCGTAGGAAGCGAGTTAAAGAGCGTGCTATAAATTAGAGAGTAGAAATATAGCATGGTAATCTATAGAATCAATTTCTATCTCCCACACTATGAATTTAAGATAGGCTTATACGTGAACTTGAGAAAGTTGTGGAATAACAAATTCCAAGTCAGATAATCTAATCCATTAAATAGATTCTAATTCCATCAAAATGAAAAGATCAAAACGGCTCCTTAATGAAAACCTTGTGCCCCGTCATATGTTCACGAAAAAAAGAATCAATTGACAAAAAAAAAAACACCATTGGACTCCTTGGAGCCTTTAATCTCAACGTTAAGGACAACCTTTCTAGAGCCAAGTATCATAAAGTAGATGAATGATACTTGGGTAGATAGGTTTTGGTAGTTTATATAGTCTTTTGCCCATACTATTAAGGGGAGAGGATACTTGAGTGGAGCAGTGTTGTGGCCTTGTGGGTAGTTTATGCGGCAGGTGTTGAGGTCTCAGTCCAACCGGCCGCTATAAGTAGTTTGAGTTAGTTGCTTACATGTGTCTTAGTTTTAGCTTTGCTGTCTCGGTGTTGCTATAGTTCGTTGTCGTTGCTTTGTTGTACTGCCTATTTTGGTCGTTTCTTCTTTTTAATATAACTGGCAGTGTTTTCTGCCCGATTCTTAAAAAAAAGTTGACTAACTTTGACTAAATTTTTAGAAACATATGTTAACATCTATGCACTATTAAAATATATTTTATGGTATACCCCTATGAGATTTCTATAATCGTTGTGCCTTTAAAAGGGTTGCAATGGATGTCATAGCTCTCTTGTCATATGTTTGCAAGGAGATGTGACTCTCGAGCCTAGCTGGAGCAAATGGCATTTCATACCCTAATTGTCCCCGTTTCAGGCTTTGGTCTACACCATGGTCATTGGCATGTATCTTGAGAGAGAGTTTTTTTTAATATTTTTAGAGTAGGTAGTGTGAGTTGGGTCTATTTTATTTGTGTGTTTATTCTATATGGGGTTTATTTATCCTCTTTTATCCTTCTTAATACAAAGGTACAATGCTCACTTGTGTGTTTGATCAAAAAATGTATTGAGAAAGTTTTTTTTTTTTGCGTGATGAATATAGTAAGAAATCATTGGTTTATATATTTGAGGCATAGGTGTAAAAGGTTAACCGATATAATCCTTAAATGACTCCAGACAGAGAATTCCGAGCGCCCTTCACGAGGGGTTTCGATTCTCTTGTCTTGCTGATTTCTTGGATGGTTTGGAAGGAGAGGAACCATCGGGTATTCGAAAACACTCAGCTCAGGCCGACGCAGTTAGCTGAACTCATCCTTCAGGAGGCCAACGATTGGTTAGCAGCGGGTATGTCGGCCCTGTTGCCACTAGTTGTTCGGGGAGCAAGCTAATACAGCTCCCGCAGTCGCGAATTGGTTTTCAAAATGTAACGCTACTTTGAGTCTTTATCTGTATTGTGTTCCCTCTTATTCGGCATCACCTAATTCGGGTATCTCGCTTGTATGATAGCGATGCTTTTGTAATCCCTACTACCCACTTAATGAAATACATGCATAAGCGTGTTCGCAAAAAAAAAAAAAAATCCTTAAATGGCCTACATTTGCAAACTAATAGCTCAATGTTTAGTTTCTTGTGAGATCTATTTATCCATACGAGTTTAACTTCTAGATTTTACATAAGTGCTCATAGTTTCTAAAATTTATTCCATAAAGAAATGGCGCAGATACTTGTAGCATGTGTTTGGTTCATGGGATCATGGGAGATGGGATGGAGGGTTCTTGTTCCAGAGGTGTTTAGTCCAGAGTCATATGGAATGGAGATATCTCTCTAGGGAATATTCTGTGAATATGCTCTCAAATCGGGGATCCAACCACCCAGAGACAAGTGGATGGTGAGGGATAAGGTGGGACGAGGTGAGTGCAGGAGGGGGTCAAGACCTGGTGAAGGAGCGAGCAAGACACGCTCCAGCGCGGGAGGGGCGACCTCACGGAGCCGCGCTCCGCTATGGGCGAGGGATGGAGCTTGTGGGGCCGAGCCAAAAGCAAACCGTGCTCCGCCGCGAGATCCATGGCGGAAGGGGCAAGCTCCGCCGGTTGGCATGCCCGACTCTACTGGTGGAGTGCAGGTGGCGAGAGGAAGAAGAACGAGTGAGGTGAGAGAGAAAAAAAAATAAAAAAGGAGGCTGACAAGTTTGTCAACCTAAATATTTTATCCACAAAATAGGGATCGTTCTATTCTCTTTCCTATCCTCTTTGACCAAACATAAAACATGATCGATTTAATCCCTAAAAACTAGATTAGGTCCATTCCATCCCACCGTGACTCTGAACTAGACACATGACAACAAAGATGTACATAAGTGTAGAACGTGTGTACATGCATGTACACATCAGCTTCGCGCATACTTTACTTTCAAGAAAACAAAAAATAAAAAGATATACATTTAGAATTTAGAATCTAGAATCTGAGATAGTAATTCTTCTGGTATCGACCTATCCAGTGGCATTTTGCCACCTGACCTTCAGTTAGAAATGCCATCCTTGCCCCTCCCTTGTGCTAAAAGGGTGCAGCAGCCCCTGCTCATCTAGTCATCTGCGCACAAAACCCCCCTCATTGCTCCGACTCCAAACCCGGACCTCCGCCGGACGGCATTGCAAGGTGAGATCAATGTCGCTCGAATCCCTCTCTTTCCCGTCGTTTCTTGCTTGAACGTAGGAAAGTTTGCTCGAATCCCTCTCTTTCTCGTCGTTTCTTCCTTGAATCCCTAGGAAAGTTTGCTGCTTGTGTGGTTTTGATGCATTATGAACTGCGGTCGTGGTCTCAGGTCTGTTATTGTGGAAGTGGGTAAACAACTTGAAAATCATGTAGTGTCGCGCAACTGGAGTTCGATCTTGGTTCTTTATGAGAGTTTATGTTCAATATTTTAAAGTAAAATGCATTTTAATCAACCCGTTATTTTTCTTAACCCCCCCTCTCTTTTTTTCTCTCCAGTATTCCATATTTTCCATGGACCATGGTCTGGGTAAATTTAAATCTACACTCTACACTAACACTACCATGAAGATTATTGAAGTTCTTGATTGTCGACATGCAAAGATTCTTAAAGTTCTTGGCTGTGCTTTATCGACTTGTTTCATGAATCATGATGGCTTATTGGCTTATCTCTGTTGCAGTGGACTCCCGAGAAGAGGAAGTGGTTGAGATATGGGCAACTCTTGCAGTGGATTCCCAAGCAAAGGAACTGGTAGAGTTGATTCGGGCAACTCTTGCCTTACTGCTGATTCCTGTAAGAACTCCTCTTGACCTTGAGTAGTTATGTTGCCTGTTGCTTGAATTACTGTGCTAGAATATACTACTACCATGGTGCTGTTACCTTTTGGTCAATTTCTATTTTAGAATCATATCTTCTATGAAGACAAATAGATGGAATTGAAGTAATTCTTAGTATAAACAAAGATAGCACAAAAGGAATCTCAAACACAGAGGAGAACTGCACATCTTTGTAATAAGAAAAAAAGGGTGTACCCAGTGCAGAGAGCTCCCGCTCTGTGCGGGGTCTGGGGAAGGGTGTCAGTCGCAAGTCTTACCCTCGCCTGTGCAATGCGAGGAGACCGCGACTCGAACCCAGGACCTTCCGGTCACAGGCGGTAAGACTCTGCCGCTTGCACCAGGCCCGCCCTTCGTAATAAAAAAAAAAGGAAAACACAAATTTGTTACAAAAAAAAACTGCACATCTGCCTACCGTCTATGATTATGCATGATCTACATAACTATTACACTGCTGCAAAGAAAAAAAAAGGTGTCTACTTTCCAATTACCCTTTTCTTTAGGATTACTTGTCCTCCTATCCCTAGAGACTTGCATGAACATATTGTGCCCTGAGAAAGAGGTTTCCTATATTTTTTTCTTTTTAAAGCATGCATGGTTAAGTAACCATTTATCATGGTAAATTCAGAATCAGAGATCACAAATAAATGTATTTTCGATTTTGATCCAGATAGTTGGAAGTTTCTCAATATGGAGAAGTATCCTACTTCTTCTATTTCCCCTTGTTTTTTTTTTTTTGATCCAGATAGTTGGAAGTTTCTCAATATGGAGAAGTATCCTACTTCTTCTATTTCCCCTTGTATTTTTTTGTAGTTTACTCATTTGTTGCCAAGCTTACACCTAACTTAATATACTCAGAACATATTCTCTCACTTTTCTTCTATATGTCTACAATGCTTTTATTGATTTCTCACATGCAAATTTCAGCTCCTTTCCTTCTGGGAAAGACACATGATCCAGCTTTCAAATGGACGATTTATGGCTTCTCAGCTCTATTTGAGAGGGAAGCTATAACAGCCAGCTCCGCTTCTTTTGACTACTGCGGGTACAAATGGTTTGCATTGTAATCATAAAAAAATGCATCAAGCAGCACTAAACATTTCATAGGTTTGTCTTGTGGTAGTATGTGTGTGGGGTTGGAGGGCATAAAATAGTTATCTATCAACAGCATTAATTAGACTGCCAGTTAGTCACAAATCATGTTACAGTGATGCAATAAGCAATCACAAAACCCTAAAAAAGTCCATATGTTTTCTTAAGTCTTCAATTATCGTCTGAGTTGATCTTCTGCTCTTGATTCATTTACCAGGCGCCTGAAAGTGACCCCAATGCATAAAAAATCTGGTACTAAAATTCCATATGTAGCTCTTAGTCTTACTCTAAGCCGAAGCAGCTTGAAGCCAGGTTACGTCATGCATGCTGTATTCGAGCTATCTATATACAATCACTCAATTGGGTCATATTGTGGATGCAAAGGTAGTTTCCTGAACTTATTTTTTAAAAGCAGAGCCTTCTTATTACAGCTGGAACTGGAAGTTCTTAATAGTCCATGCTTGTACGCTTAAGTGACTCGCAAAAGTTGGAATTAAATTGAACATCATATGAAGCTTATGTCATTACAACTCAATTTCTAGACAATTTGGTATATGATCAAATACTTCTCGCATCATATTCTAGAACAGATTTGCACCATTTTAGTTCACTTTTCTTCTGTACTTTGTTTGCAGACTTTACTAATTTATAGTTTATATTGAGGTGCTTATAATTTGATCGGCATTTCAGAGTGCATATATAGACATTCCACTCTTATTTGAACATTATGCATTTGAAGTTTGCCAATTGCTAACTCTGAATATGGGTTTTAGTTTTCTTTTGTTTGTAAAAAATGACTAACTGGGGATACAAGCTGCTGAGGTTTCTTATGTAAAAATGACTCTCTGGGGATGAAAGCAGCTAAGGTTCTAGGGCTATCGGTTAGCCCACGGGATCACCGTCGAGGATAGTGAACTAGTCACCAGACCACTAGTCTCAGACCACTAGTCTCCTAGACCACTAGTCTCCCAGACCAGACCACTAGTCTCCCATACCACTAGTCTCCTAGACCAGACCACTAGTCTCCAGACCAGACCACTAGTCTCCAGACCACTATACCGGTTGTGTCCGTACCCACACACTACGGATCGAGCTAGAAGAAGAAGGGAGAACAGAGCAAGCACGCACAATACAAGACAACAACGTTGGCCGAGGCCCTATCTGTGTGATGGCAAATTTGAGCTCTCTTTACTGAGTTGTCTTGGTGCCCTATTTATACAACTCTATCTATCTAACTAAAGTACACAGCACATGTCTGTAATAAAGAATTCTAGATAAGCATACAGTGGCTGACTACTGCCGCCCGGCCTCTGCATGTGCCCTAAAGTGCTGCAGGTGAGCTGCGTGCGGCGCTCTGCACTGCAGCTGCCACATCAAGATACAATAGGGGCAAAGTCGGCGCCCGCCTTCCTCTCTGTGTGTTTCACACAAGGTGGCGATAGATTAGCTAACAATCTTTTCCTAATCCTCATCGCTAACCCTTGCACCCCTCCATGCCGATCATCTCCTTCAGCTCCGTGAGTCGAAGTCGTCCGAGCGGCTTGGTGGGGACGTCCGCGAGTTGCCGACCAGTTTCGACAAACTCGATGACGATCTGCCCTCCATCAACACAGTCCCTGAGGAAGTGAAACTTCACGTCGATGTGTTTACTCCGGTCGTGCAGAACCGGATTCTTCGCGAGGGCGAGGGCGGGCTGGTTGTCCACCATCAGTGTTGGTGGGTGAGCTTCCACGCCGGTTAACTCGCCCAGCAGCTGGCGTAGCCACACAACTTGGCACGCCGCTGTGGCCGCCGCTATGTACTCTGCCTCGCACGTAAATAGCGCCACCACCTTCTGTTTCAGCGACAGCCATGAAATTGGGGCCGACCCGAGGAAGACGAGTACGCCAGAGGTGCTCCGTCGTCCGTCGATGTCCCCCCGCCATGTCTGCATCGCTGAACACCGTGAGCTGCAGCCTACTTCCCTCGGTCTTTGGGAAGATGATTCCATGATTCACCATCCCCTTGACGTAGCGTAGTAGCCGCTTCACCGCAGCCCAGTGATCCTCTCTGGGATCCTCCATGAAGCGACTGACGTAGCCCACGGTGAACGCAATGTCCGGCCTTGTGTGGACTAGGTAGCGCAGACCACCGACGATGCTCCGGTAGAGTGTTGCATCTACTTTTGCCGCGGTGCTGTCCTTCGTCAGCTTCAGCCGCTCCTCCATCGGAGTCACGCATGGCTTGCACTCCACCATGCCGCTCCTCTCCAACAGCTTGGAGGCATACGCGCTTTGCCCGAGCGTGAGTTCCTCCTTCCCCTGTCTCACCTCGATGCCAAGGTAGTAGGAGAGAGCGCCGAGATCGCTCATTCGGAAACGAGCTGCCATCTCTCGCTTGAAGCTGTTGATATCCTCCGTGCGCGCTCCGGTGATGATTAAGTCATCCACATACACGCCGACCACGAGTTCTTCCTTCCCCCGTCGTCGCGTGTAGAGCGCGTGCTCGGTTGCGCACCTCTGAAACCCAAGCTCGCCCAGCGTGGTGTCAAGCTTGGCGTTCCATGCTCGAGGGGCTTGCCGCAGCCCGTAGAGCGCTTTGCGCAGTCGGAGCACCCTGTGCTCCTCTCCCATGACAGCGAACCCTGGAGGTTGCCTGACGAAGACCGTTTCCGCCAGCTCGCCGTTGAGGAAGGCCGATTTAACATCCAAGTGATGGACGCACCAGTCCTTTGCTGTCGCCAAAGCAAGTAGCAAACGGACTGACTCCATGCGCGCTACTGGTGCAAAGATCTCCTCGAAGTCGATGCCCTCGCGCTAGACAAAGCCTCGGGCGACGAGGCGCGCCTTGTACTTGACAACGGCGCCGAGCTCGTCCCTTTTGACTTTGTAGACCCACTTCAAGCTGATCGGACGGCATCCTGGGGGTGGATCGACGAGCTGCCAAGTCTCGTTTTCCTCAATTGCCTTCATCTCCTCCAGCATTGCCCGTCGCCAGTTTCCATCGTGCTCGGCTAGCGCGAACGTGGGTGGTTCCTCTGCACTGACGAGTAGCAGCTCTGCGTCGTTGAGCAGCCTACTACTCGCTGAACCGAGGGACTGTGTGCCGCCCGATGTCGCCCACCTGCGGAACCTCAACTCCTCACCTTCGTGGTAGGCGTCCATGAACTCAGTGATGTCACTTGGAGGTGAGGCGAACTCGATCAGGGTTGATGAAGTTCCTTCTTCCGCCGGAGTGCCCTGCATAGCACCAAGTGCTCGGATCGCTTACGGATCGCTCATTCGTCATAACTCCTGCAGTGTTCGGCCACACTGTAGGAGTGCCCAGCCTCAGTCTTGGAGTGGTCGGAACCACAGTAAGACGTCTTGGCTCCGCCACGGGAGTGCTCGGCACCTGTCCTAAAGTGGTCGCCACCACTGCAGAACCTCCTGGGTCCACTCCTGGTGTGCTCGGCATCCCTCTAGAAGTGCTCGACACTCCTCCCAGAGTGCTCGGCATCCCTCCTGAAGTGCTCGGCACTACCCCAGAAGTGCTCGACTCTACCGCCGGAGTGCTCGGCACTCCTCCCGGAGTGCGTGGCACTTGTTCCGCAGCGTCTCCACCGCCGTGGATGACCAAGTGCTCGACGACGAAGGTGTTGGGGAAGCCTCCTGCTTCCCCCGTGCTCGGACTGCTCCATTCCGATCCCAAAGCCTCCTCGTTGAACACAACGTCGTCGCAGATACGATCACCTTGTCTCCGCATGGGTCATAGAGCCAGACGCCTTGGTACCCTCCAGTAGCCGGGGAACACCATGGGTGTGCTCTGTCCTCCGGCCAGTGAGGTTCGGCCCGTCTTCCGACGTGGCCGATGCAACCGAATGTCCGGAGGAATGACACGTTCGGCTTGCTCCCGTACTCAAGCTTGAACGGCGTCTTGCCCGTTAGGGCTTTGGTTGAGCGTGGTTGAGGATGAACACCGCCGTGGTCACCGCCTCTCCCCAGAACTTTGTCGGCATCCCTTTGGCCTTCATCATGGATCGGGCCATGCCGACCATCTGTTCGTTCCGTCCGCTCCACCACGCCATTCTGTTGTGGCGAGTACGGCGCGACGTGATGTTGCCCCACACCTTGTGTCGGATACCCGAAAATAGGGTACCCCAAGCAAAGAACGAAAAAACTGCTTAGACCATAAGAACAGAACCAACGGAATAAATGAACGAGGTCTCGGCCGAAATCTTCGATTCGCCCGAGACCCCGTCGCCGAGCCCCAGCGGAAGCGAACGATTCTCCGACTCGCCCGAGACCGCCTCGCCGAGGCCCCCTCGCCCGGGGCCTCGGAAGAAGTGCCGATTCTCCGATTCACGCGAGGCCGGCTCGGCACCAGCCCCATGGCCGCCTCTTCAACAAAACTGCTCTGACCGAACGTCGCATCCAAGCGCCCAACCACTCCGACAGATGCACGATGGCACAGTACAGCTAAGTGACCGACTACACGCCAATCGCGTCAACTTCCGCCATCTCGCGACGCGCACAGAGCGTGGGTTACCGACCACCTTGTCCGCCTAACTCCCGCACCAAGGACGACATCATAACGTGGGGAGTCGAACGGGTTCCTCAGAGCCTCGGAATCAGCCGGACCGACCGCTCCGTCTCGCTGAGCCCCTCGATGGGGCCTCGGATTCACCGATCTTACTCCGCCTCGCCCGTCGCCGCCCAGACCCCAGAGGGCCTTGGACGACCACACCACGCTCCGCCTTCGCCCGAGGCCGGGGCTCGCCCCGCAACCTCGTCGCCTCCGCCTCAAAAAGTCTCCGGCGAGCTATCGCATCCGATTAATGCGCTCATTTGCACCCACTACGTAAGCCACGATCGGCGGTCAGGCCGCAGCGGGAGCGACGGGACAACGGTCGATCACCTTTTCTACCATCCCTCATCGACAATACAGTGTATCAGATCCCCAGAGGGCGCACGTCTCGCACTATTCCGCTCGATGGGCTGCCGAGACCGCATCCGCATCCGGGTCACTTCTCGTGCCTCGGCATGGCGGGCCCTAAGACGACAGCCTCGGCACGACCGGCCACGATGGCGCCGAGCCTCGCAATCCACCAAGTCAACAAATGCGCAACATGTTACTTGCAGTGGAGACCATACCGATTAGACATCTACGGGAACTCCCACGACAACGCCATGCTGCTCCAGGAGTAAATATGTCATCGAATAGTCCTTGCTCCACGTGTAGCTCTCTTATGTACTCCTGGTTTCCTCCCTGCGGCTATAAAAGGAGGCAGCCAGGACCGTTTCTAGGACGACGGATAGAATCACAAATACTCGCACGAACAACACGCCTCATTCTGTAATTCATAGCACCTCCCCTCACAGAGACCTGGGACGAACTCCCTCTCTCGCCTAGCTTGTAACCCCCTA